GGCGAGCCACTGGCGAACGAGGTCCACGCCAAACTGAACGTGCATGAAGGTGGGTGGGGAAGAGGGTGGGAAGAGAGGGACTGAAATGCGGAGAGCGAGAGCAGACTGTGCCTATTGATGCCGGCCGGAGGAACAAGGCAGGATGAAACGTGAAAGTGTTTTACACCTGTGATGGTGCTCTTAAGGTTTAAATACAACATGTTCAGAAGAACCTGCTCTTAAAAAACAAAGCTGTAATTTTGTTTGTGTTTTTTTTTTTTACAATAATTACATGTAAAAAAAGAGATGCAGTAAAAATAATTAGTTTAATTCCAATTCAAGCATGTATTTGAAACTGATCTCACTTATTTTCTTCTTCCATTAGATTAATCTACACAAGGTATTTAAATAAAATAAAACAATGTTAATACAAAGGAATTCTTTTTTTTTTACACCTGATGCACACAGATATAAAAAAATACTATCATGATTTAATTCATTGTCTGTTGATGATGCAAATGTGATAAACATTTTAAATTTAAAGCACCTGTCTGAATAGTGAATAAAGGAGCACTTTGAACATCCTTTAATCATTTACATGAAAATTATCTGAACCACGTCATGAAAAATTGGTTGCAAAGAAATTTATATTTAATACGGCATTTATATTTGAAATATTTCCATTTATTGATCAAACATAAAACAATAAATTAGTTCAGATGTGACATATGCTCCCGCTGTGAAAAAAGACTTTAGCGACTGACTGATGTTGAAGCTGGAATGAAAGCAGGGCTCAGTCCAATCAGCTCTATTGTGAATAAAGGATTTCACATGTGCATCATGCTGCTATAGATGTTGCACATGTTAACCATCATGTTCCAGATGATTCAAACCTGCTCCAAAATTTTTCAGGCTGCTCTTTGCCTTTTTATATTTTAGTCATTTTTCTTCTTCTGGAAGACCAAGTTTCAACTTGTTTTAACAGGTTTGGATTTAAGTTCATAAACTGGTAATCTATCATGGCACCATAACCATGTTTGAGCTGGACGCAACATTCAATTTTAATAAGTTGTAGAGTGTTTTGGGCACTAAACAAACTACCTCACCTTTATTTGTCCAAATACCTGTTAATGTGACCAAACAACATTTGTCTCTTCTGACCATAAAGCTTGAAATGGAGTTTGGAGGGATACATTTTAGACAGAAGCTTCAGAGTCCTTGATTTTATTAAACTTTTTATATTTATGTAGTAATACAAGCATTTCAATTACATATGAATTATGTGTCCTGTGAGTAATCGCAATAAAACTGATTTTATAGGTGCAATGCCACTCAGTTGTAGCATATTGAAACATAAGCCCAAAAAAAAAAAAAAAAAAATCATCTCTATATGTCCATGATATATTTCATCTATTGGTTTCTTTACTGCAGTTTTATTGTCATCCACTGTCAAAAGCAACATGCGGTACGCTAATGTCCCCCACTGCAGAGGGACTTTAATGGTTAATGTTTGTAGTTTTTGAGATGAGTGTTTTTCTAGACTGGAAATGAGCAGAGAACGTAAGTAAGCCATGTGTTTTTGGTGCAGGATATTTAAGTGGTTCACTGTGTATTACAACAAAGGTTTTTTTGTTGCTTGTCTGAAGCGGTGCAGTGTGACTGAACCTGACGAATGGCAGGAGCAATTTTATCCACTACACAGTGTTAGAACCAGGGGGTGACCAATGGTGGCCTTGGCCATCATAGATTAATCTTCGGCCACCCCACCTGCAACCCCAATCATTTGAGAAAATTATACTTTTAAGCAATATAAAAATCTAAAAAGTATATAGGGGTGGCCAGTTTACATATTTATAGTCATCTTGGCTTTTGACCCAATTTTGAATATTGATCTTTCTTATGCCTAGATGCAGCTACACAACTAAATTAAATTTGGTATCTCAGTTATTATTCAAGTTATCCAGATCACAACGCAGAAGGACAGACAGATGAAGGGTATTTCTAATTATCCTTTTTGCTCCATGATGAGGGACACAAAGGTGGTAAATTGTTTTGCCTGTGTACGTTTGCGTATATTTAGGGAGTGGTGACACAGAGGTTAGAGAAGGTGAGCCTGTGATCGGAAGGTTGTTGGTTCGACCCCCTGGACTGACAACATCAAAATGTGGGTGGGAAAGGTGAAGCACCCACATCTGCCTCTTGGCCCTTGAGCAAGGCCCTTAACACCCCACACCCCTCATCTTCTCCCACAGGCACCCTAGATGGCAGCTCTCTGCTCCACACAGGGGGCTGTGGTAGCTCAGAGGTTTGTGGTTGTGTCAGGAAGAGCATCTGGCATAAAATCAACTGCCAAGTCTTCATGCGAGTTAGTTCGTTGTGGCGACCCCTGAAGAAGAGAGCAGCCGAAAGAAGAAGAAAAAAAAATCATCCAACAATTTTCAGTCAGGTCATCTGGGCAGTTTCTTTTTTTTTTGCTGAAATGTTTCACCTTCCATCCGGAAGACTTCATCAGTCAAGGAAACACACAACACAAAACTGATTCTTCCCCCAAACAGCTTACTCTAAAGTGAAACAAACCAGTTATGTTGGTGCTAAGATGGTGTCTTTGGCACGCCCCCTCCTCTTGTGCCGGCCCTCTTCCTCGTCGACAGTGTAGTGAACTTGACCTGATGTCAAATCTTGACCTTAGGATCATATGGTCAGAAACTGTCATTTCATTGATTTGAATCCAGAAATACAGGTTAACCCATCCTGAGACTTTCTTTCTTGAATTAATCAAGTGGAAAAAGACAATTCTCTATGATCATTACTATTTTACAAATGTTTTGATAATCAAATTGTGTTAGTTCAAACAATGTTTACATGTTGAAGTGAACTACTCATTTTTATTTACTTAAAACAGTGTAATGATTTTTTAATCCTCAATTCAAAGTGAAATCAAGTTAGAGTACGTTACAGAGTAATGATTCAATTTCTTGATCGTCTGCTTTGAAGTGAGCAGAGTTGTAAGTGTGTCAAAGTTCAGGTTTCGGTCAACTGAAAGTTTACTGAAAAGAAATGTCATGTTTAACTTTTACAGCAAGATACTTGGTGGAGCGACGCCACTAAGTCTGGTTTTCTCCAACAATCTTTCTGTCTGTTCTTAAACAATCCTAATCTCTTTCCTTGACTTTCCATAACACCTTACATCACAAAACACACCTCTGTTGGGGTCCATCGACCAATCAGAGGCTCTCAAACGAACCGGAAGTAGAGCCCATTAAAATGTCGGCACTTCCTAGTTCAAACAGAGAGTTTTGGAAGTTCCAGAATGCAGAACGCTGGCATTCAGGATGCTGCTGAATTAGAATCAAGCTGAACCAGAGACGATTTTGGGAATTATAACTTCTGTTTGGATAACCTCACACGACTCTCGAGGTCTTTAGCTGTTCTTACGGAGACGCTGAACAGTGGCTCGAAGTGGGACTTCACGCCGGAACTGATCTATCTTCAGAAAAGGTAAAAGTCGACCTTCACCAAAAGTGTACTGTTGGGACAAGCTGATTTCCAAAGGAGCGTGCTGTTCTGGTTAAAACAGACAAATTCCCTCACACATCTCTCTGAGTAGATAAACCTCATTTTTCATCTTTAAACTCTCCTATCTGCTAGCAAATTAATCCAGATGTCTTCAGAAATGTCTGTGGTGAAGCAACGGAAAATCATGGCCGTATGATTTTCCTGGTTGTAAAGCTGATTGATTATGTTGTTATTTTCATATTCTGCCAAATTAGTGTAAACGTTTGATGTTAAACTTTGATTCTGTAAATAAATGACCACATTCATTTTGATGGGTCAAAGATAAATAACGTCTCACGTCCACATTTTTGTTAAATTCAATGCACGACATCATTCAGTCCAGAAAAATGAAAGAATCCGTTTTAATCAGGTGAATATCTCAGGATATGTTCATCTACAACAGTCATGTCAAACTGAAAAAAAATCATGTATGTGTATGTTTGTAGCTCATCCTTAACACATTATCTGAGTGTTAGCACAATATTTCATGAAACTGCGCTTAAAATCATCTACAATACCACAAGATAAACTTAACTTAAACACTGGCATGAAAGGTCACAGGTCATAAGCATTCCTTCCAAGAATGTTAGGCCTTTAGGTCTTTTTGTTTTGGCACGCTTATTGGCTTTCTCTGGCTTTTGCAGCTTTGTGACTAAACTTACTTTTTTTACTGTATCTAACAAAATTAAATCAAAATTTACATGAAAAGCTAAGCAAATCAAGAAAATTTTGAAGCTTAACAAGCAAGATGTGAAATCTTACCACACCCCTACCGTTCAGAAAACACTATGTGGGCTAGGGTGATAAAATATTTCATACATCCTCTCACTAGGTGACTGAAATTACAAGTACTGCAAGAAACTGTCTTTTTCAGTGCATCAACAAATGGGTTCAAAGTTCTTGTACCTTTGTATATAAATGTAAAGTCATGTAAAATAGTCCAAGTTCAATGCTAAGGCAGCTTTCCCTGACAGTTTCATTTGTTTGTATTTGGGGGGCAGGGGGTGGGCTGTCACTGTGCTGAAGTACTTTATAGTTCAAGTCCCACCCCTCAGCTGTAGATAGTTTCAGCCAGTAAAGGAAACAGAAACAGGAAGCTGGAACTTGCGTTGATTTCTTTTCTTGTGCTTCGAGCTGCCTAAACCTATTCTTTAAACCTTACGCTGTCACAGTCTGTGGGATATACAGTAAGTAGACCATCAAACAGTATTCAATTAAAAAGGCTGAAATGATGTTTGTGTAAAAGTTTCCTTGCAAGTTTCTTTTACAGCCAGTCTGTGCAGTGTTCCCATTGTAACTAAACAGGAGCAGGGTAAAGAATAACTACAATGTGGTTTAGCAGAGCAACATTTTAGCATCAAGTAAACAGTTTTACATGTGCTTCTTTCCTTTTAAATATATTCTTTTCACCTCATCATTTCTAACAGATTTGAGGTCTCAAACCGCATGCCCATGTATAACAGAAGATGGCGCAGGCGATCAGTGAGGTGATTCATGACACAGATCTAGAGGATTGGAATTTGGTTGGGTTTGGGGGGTTTGGAAATGTCTTTAAAGCCTGGCACAAGACATGGGGTCTTCATGTGGCTATTAAGCTACCTAGTCATGATTCAAGGTAAATTTACAATTAATGTTTCTCAATATTTATATTTCATATTTCTACTGCTTTAAACGAACACTAAACTGTAAACTTTCTCAATTCAGTCAAGCTGAGGAGAAATCACTGCTTAAGGAGGCTGATCATATGAAAAGTTTGGTTTTTGACTTTGTGCTGAGAATTTATGGACTTTATGATGGAAGTCCTCCGTTCAAAGGAACAACCAGACTGCGAGGTATAGTCATGGAGTACATGGGGAGGGGATCTGTTGAAACCCTGCAGAAAACCTTGGCTGGCCCTCCTCCGCTGCCTCTGGCCTTCCGCTTGGCTCATCAAGTGGCTCTAGGAATAAACTTCCTCCATCTGAAGGGAGTTCTCCATCAGGACCTAAAGCCAAGCAACGTGCTGCTGACAGATGAACTCCACGTCAAGGTAAAGTACCTACCAATAAACCTTTATGTTCAGGTAAATGTAAAACGAAATTCAGCAGTATTTTCTTTGTATTTTGTAGCTGGCAGACTTTGGCCTGTCCAGGATCACCACCAGTGTTTTGAACAGCAGTGATAAAACGGCCGGAGACAACGGAGGTACATTTTCCTACATGCCACCTGAAGCTTTGGAAGATTTATCTTATAAACCTAGTCGTTCTTTTGACATATACAGGTAAATACTGGGTTACAGTTTTACAAATCTGACATAGTTAAAACCAATTATAATCTATAATTTCCACTCTTTTGTTCTCAGTTATGGCATTCTACTCTGGTCTATCTTTACTGGCCTAGAACCATACAAAGGTATAACTGATTTCGTCCTCTTTCTTTCCCATTTTTCTAACTTTTGTTGGGTGAAATTACCACCTACTCTCTGTTTCTCATAAGCCTCACAATTTAACAACGTATAACTAATCACTAAGCACAAGTAAAGCCCTGTTTTTCACATCCTCATTCAACTCTGTGCATGTTTTTAATGGTTTGAATGCACCTTAGGTACAAACGACAGCCTAGTTGCATTTAGAATCCCTAAGGGAGACAGACCTGATGTGAGACTTTGTCCGAAGAATGTAGAGGGGATGGACGAGCTGGTGGAGCTCATGACACAGTGCTGGGCTGGGGATCCACTGAAGAGGCCAAACTCTGAAGGTACGAGTTTATCGTGAAAATAAATGTGTTCATTTTGATCATTTAAGATTAATTCCTACTTTACAATAAGCAAAGTAACATGGCCTTAAGATCTATTGACTGCCCTCATTTATGCACAGTACATTCCTCACTTGTACGTATAATGCATATTAAAATTTGGATTGTCTATTTTCTATTAACTACACCCTCTGAATACGGCATACGGCTTTCTTTCTAGAAATCAAGAAACACACTAAGGATTTGTTCTCAAAGCACCGGAGTAAAGTTAATACTGTCGTCTTTGGACTCTTATCACAGCTGGTATGAAATGTTCTTACAGAATTCTAAAAAAGAGAACTCATTAATCAAAAAGTAATCTTTTTATTCACTTTATATTTACTTTTCAGGATTCACCCACTGGTGTTGGATCATCTCAGACAAGTGGGGCAAACATAACTTCACTCATACCAGGTGGATTTTATGCGTTTGGATTTGTCGCTTTTTATACCAAACTGCTAAAGCACATTATGTTATTTATTAATTTATGTTTTCAGAAAATGCACAGTTAAAAGATGTTGTGGATCATTCTCGATTTACGACAAAGGTATTCTTCAAAATTACAAAATTTAGACATGTCGTTAGATTTCTTAGAACATAAAAGACGTCAGAACAAGTATTCATTAAAAATTAATAAACTGGAACTATTTTATAATAGTAATCCTTACTCATCCATTGATTCATTTTTTTTATGCTTGCTCAGGATCTCAGGAAAAGTGAAGGAGTTCACTCTGGACAAGGGGCCTGTTCATCACATGTCCAACACAGAGACATTCACTTCAAACAGCCAGATACATTCAGTCCTAAGGTCAGTTCAGACTCACTAGTGTCCCTTATTTATTAAACCTTTTTTATGTGACTATTTTCAGCAGTTTGTTATAATGCTAAATCATATTATTTTAAATCCCAAAGAGTAAAAATCCAAAGAAAAATCAAGTGTTTGCCTTTAACCTTCAGTTTCAGTTACTAGCTTTCTTCTGTGGAAACTAATTTTTTATTTTGTTAACAGATATCTGACACTGTTTGCACTAAAAGTCTGACAAAAAAAGAAAAAGGTATATTATTTTATTTGTCTGAATTGTTTCTGCATGCTATAAAAATGAGTTTTACCTACATGTCTTTGTTCTTTTCCATTTAAAAACAGCAACATTTGTTGACGACAAGAAACCAGATTTAATACAACGAACCTCCCAGATAATGGCCATAGTTGAAGAGCTTGGAAAAAGAGTCCACCCAGAAACATATTTAAAAATTAACGCCAAACCAATTCCCCAGGACAAAGTGAGGGAACTCTATGGTACGACGTTACGTTCAGGAGGGGACTCAGCCAAAGCTGCCTTCTATGATGCCCTCAAAAAACACGAGCCCTATCTGATGGAGGACCTCGGTATGATTTGATGATTTTAATACGTCAAGCTTTTTTGTGCCATCCAACTTTTTCATTTAATTTTCTTTTCCCTTAGGTGCCTAATTCTAGCGCAGCTGAGGCCTTCCTGCATTTTATAAATGAAATTGGCAGTACATTCTCCTTAGACTGACAAAGTCTTTTGGATTAAAGATGAAATGTTTCAACATTTTTTTTTTAATCCATCCAGAGGACCTGATTGTATTTTATTTTTTTATTTCTACTTGGTTTATTGAGCATGCATCAGCATAAAAATGTCAGTACCTTTTCTCACATTTATTATGTTTCATCTTATTCATTTGTTTATATGAATAAAATTAAAATTTTCACATAACTTTTTTGTATTGCTTATAATTTAAGATACAGCATTTGTTTTACAAAAAAAAAAAAAAAAAAAAAAAAACTTCCCATCTTATGAAACTGAATGTTAAGGGATAGATAAAGTTAGAGAATCAGTAGCAAACTGTGACTATGAGCTGGGCCTTCAGATATGCTATAATATTATCACAATCTGTTATAAGGTAACGTCGAAAATACTTTGAAGTCATGGTTCGATCACTACACTTTCATTTCAGTCTCGATCCGGAAGCTCACTGAACAGGAAGTGCTCTCCCCTTTTTAAACATCAAGTACAGCATTTGACTTAGGCTGCCATTTTGTTGACAGCCACGAACAACTACCTGAACATAAATGTCAAACAATTCTAAACAGAACAACCAACAACAATCCATCTGCATTTTAACCTCTCATTTCTGTACCAAAACTTCCCAGCAGCCACTGCGACTCATTCAGTCTCTTGTGTTCAAGTAAAACATGTAATAATTCATACTGAAATTTTTTTTTTATTTTTTTTTTTTTTTATTTTATTTATTTATTCATTTCATAACAAAATAAAATACATATCAATTAACATATATGTAATTAGAAAACAATTATAAATATAAAATGAAAGGTAGCAGATGAAGAAAAAATCTTATTGAATCTGCTCCTTATTTATCTAATAAACCATTCAAACAAACATATTCAGAAAATTATCAGAAACAAGTAAATAACTCAAGTAATATTTCAAATATCCAACATTTTTCATGAAATACATTCATATATATTTTTTTAGCAATTGAATTTTTACCATTTTCTTAAATACCGAGATTGATTTAGCTTCCTTAACATCTAACTCCAAGTCGTTCCACAGTCCAACACCCTGAATTAGGGTAGATCTTCCCTTCAAACTGGTTCTGAATTGCGGTTTAACAAAAACATATTTCCCCTTAAGATTATAATTACTAGCTCTTTTTACACAATGCATTTGGATATTAGAAGGCAATGTATTATTATGAGCTCTATACATGAATGACAAAATGGTATAATCCACCAAATCAGGGAACTTCAACAACTTCATTTGACAAAATAATATACTCGATGGATGATAATAATGTTTACCCTTGATAATTCTTACAACTCTTTTCTGCAAAATAAAAATAGACTTTGTAATTGATTTACATGCTTTTCCCCAAACATTAACACAATAAATCAAATGTGGCACAACAATTGTATTGTACATCAAATTCAATGCTTTGTCATTCAGTAGATACTTAACTCTATAAAATATTGCGATAGATTTTAATATTTTCATTTTAACAGAATTTATATGTTGCTTCCATGATAATTTATCATCAATGATGACACCCAAAAACTTCACCTCATATACTCTACAGATTTCAGAATCTTCAATCTTGAATGAAACATCAATATTTTTATTTTTATTGCTAAATATCATATAGTTAGTCTTATCCAAATTTAACGATACTTTGTTTAGTCTAAACCAACTTTGAATTTTACAAAACTCAATCATCATTAATTCCAATAACTGTTCAATATTCTTACCAGAACAAAAAAAAGTTGTGTCATCCGCAAAAAGAACGCATTTAAGGAGGCTGGACACCTTAACCAAATCATTCACATACAAGATGAACAACTTTGGACCAATTACAGATCCTTGAGGAACTCCACATGTAATGGTGCAGTAATCCGATCTCACATCATTTATCTGCACAAATTGGTTCCTGTTTTTTAAGTAACTGCACACCCACTGCAGTGCCAATCCTCTGATACCGTATTTGTATAATTTTTCAAAAAGAATGTTATGATCGACAGTATCAAATGCCTTAAATTAAACAGTAGCCCAGTATAAATACAATAAAATAAAAAGGCTTGTTGTAGGGGATTCCTGAAAGCTCAGAGCTCCATGTTTTGGTCTCCATCACATTGTGATCGGTTGCTTTTCCTGTCAGTTAACAAACAAACTCATGCTGCAGAGACACAGCTTAGCCTTCTCTCCTGACAAAGAAGTCCTAACCCAGAGGTCTGCAACCTGTGGTTCTGAAGCCATAAACAGCTCTTTCTGCAGCAGCTCTTTTAAGCTTTGATCAAAACTAGCATAAAACTGAATTTAATTGCTTCTTTTAACAACAAAAAGGGCTAGTTTTAGTAGTTTTTCTGTCATTTACTTTGCAAATTTATGAATACTAGAACTAATACAAGGCGTGAAACATATTCACTTTCACTTTATGCTTTATTTCTTCGACATAGGATACTTAATTTTTCCACAATTTAAAGACATCACGTAGACCTGAACAGTTAATTTTTTTAATTATGCAAGATCATATTATTTTTACTTTTGTACAAGAATCTTGTCTTTTATTTTGTCTTAGAATGTAAAAATATCAACAAATGTTAAAAAGCATTAGATATTTTCAGCTTTATAATGTAATTTCACCCCTGCTGGCCAGAAAAGTGTCCTCCAACAAACTTAAGTGGTCCGGGGACCACCAGTTGACAATCACAGTTGTACAGTATCAGGTTTTGTGGCTGCAGACACGTTTAACTGAGTGAACGAAGGGGCAGAAATGTCTCTTTTGATCGTAAAGGTTGCAGACCCCTGTCCTAACCAATGAGAAAGAACCTTCAAACAAGTTTCTGTCTGGAGACGCAAATTTTAAAGCATCTGATTGGATAACTACAGTATATTTTCAAGAATAAAAACAGTTGCTCAAGTGCGAAGAAGTTCATAGAATACAGTATAATAGAAATTAGTAAAATCCAAGAAAAACTACATTGTAAAAAATATAAAAACACATAAAATATGTAATATAAATATACATGTAAAATATATAATATA